GCTGTTTGGCAAATTATTGCTGTTTTCGATGATATAGTATATCAAATTAAAAACGCCTTACTTTTTATGATATTTATTAGCAAGAGGCATTGCCATGGCGCTCTGGGTAGTAGCAGTGTTGTTGTAATAGTATGCCAAGGGTTTGTCCGTGCCGGCAGGCCAACTAGTAAATCAACAGTTCATTCATTCTTTGCAATGGTAAATGGGAACCTGCGCCTAGTGCACCATTTTATTGATAGCCTTGTACCGCTGAACAGCTAAATCAGTCTTCTGCTCAAGCTGACTAAGCAACAACCATATTTTATTTTTTCTCATACATTTTGACCTAATAAAGTCACACTGCACCTATCAAAGATTTCCCAAAATGTATGCATCACTTAACTGACAAGTCCTTTATTCTTTATACATGAAATTTATTGTGTAATATGTACACTGCTTAACTGCTATATCCTTTATTTTTTTAATGCAAATTTTATACAACAGATAATGAAGTTCAAACAAACAGGTGCAGTAGTAGCTTCAAACGAGAATAACAATGAGCTTCATAGCAGGACTTTGTGGACGTGGCGCGTCTGGAAATGAAGGGGAGAGTAAGAGTAGGGAAGTGAAGGGGAGAACGGTACTTAGAAAAATACTCCCAATAATTTCTTCTGAAGAGTTTGAAACAAAATTCCTAATACTTTTCGACCCTGACAGAATTTTGGATTTTAGCATGGATAGGGGAAACCAACTTGACAGATGAAAGGCAAAACACTCTTAAATTATATTTCATACATTCCTGCATATGTTCAGTAACAGTTCTTACAGAATGAGAGCGTGTGAGAAATGACCTTGAAATGAAGCAGTTAAAACGGAAAAATTCTGCAGGTGTTCAAAGCAAGTCCAACAGAACTTGTATTACCGGTGAATTTTCGGAGGATGACTGCTAACCAGTCGTATTTCCACCTTGCTAATAGCTGAATGTGCCTCAAAATTTTTTGATGCATTCGTGACGTTTACCTGAAAATTTCGAACAGAACCCTATTTGTGTGGGCAAATCGATCACTTGTAATGTTCATATAGAAAAAAGTTAGCTTGCGGAGAAAAATTTGACGTGGAATCCTTGATGCTGTCAA